CGTGTCCAACCGTCATTCCCAACCGCTTGCCGAGGAGAAGGCCAGGAAGGGCGAGTTCAACGAAGCAGGAGCCCCAGGCACCGCGTTCCTACAGCTTACCCAGGATTCTCTTTCCCTTTTTAACCGAAGGGTCTAGCGGATCTTAGGTGGACGGATTTTTTTGATTTTTTTTCAAAGTTGTCACTTGTCAGGAGAAAGTCACTGCCATCAGTAGAAACAATAAAAGCACGTCTCAAAATTTATTTATCCCTCTAAGTTCCGAAAGCACACTCGGAGGGAGTAACACCATATTCCACTCCGGCCACAGAGTGCTNGTCCTCCACTCCGGCCACAGAGTGCTGATTGCAAACTAACTTCAGCTCTCCCGGAGGGGAACTATTAAGGTTATTTTAAAAATGAAATTAAACATCACGGTCTTCTTCCTCTTTTGCGTTGCTATCAGGACATTTAGCAGCCATCTCTGGTGAATGACTTGGGCATCTCTTAACGGTGTCGATATTATCAGCACAGGCATAAAATACATTCTGCTCTGTCCATAGGTGTCAGTTCAGGGTCTTTTGCTTGTAGGACTTAAGATCTATTTTAGGCTGCCTGCCGGCTACAAAATAATTACTTAAACTTGCTAATGCCCGAATCTGTGGGATTTAGCAGCAAGAAGTTCTTTGCTTTCCCGGGTAGGGGGGGAGTTATTTTTCTTATAGAAATTTCTTTGTTGGTGGCATTAGAGAGGATTAAGGTGGGGTTGAAGTACTCGAGAATGTAATTAATCTAATCCCTTTAACAGCAATTGTTTTCATACTGATAATTCTCCCGAACAACAGTAAAACAGACGACAGCCTTGTGAAGTATTGACACTAGGTATCTTAGCATAAGAACCTCTCCTCTGTCTTCCTTTTTCTATAGAAGGGTAACATTTTTGGCTTCTTTGGCAGCCTCTCTCTTTCTTTCTTTCCCTCCCTCTCACCTAAAATGCAAGCATGCTTCTCAGGGGACCAGAATAACATTCTTTTGTACTGCTAATTTTCTCTCAATGTCATCGTCTCTCAGTTAAGTTCATGGCCATCAAGTCATTAATCTCTTAAACGAGTATGAATAGGAAATAAGAACAGTTCCACTGATTTCTTTCTTTCTTTCTTGTATCCACAGTCATTTGGTTCAGATTCTCTTGTGAACTGATTTGTTTACTCATCAATTTCAATAAATTGTTATGCTGTTGAAAAATTACCACCAAGAGGAGGAAAGTTAGACAGAGGGCGAAGCTGTCCTTCTGGTCAACCTCCAGAAACTGGGAATTGTCCTTAACCTGCTCAAATATGACACTATCCAGGGGAGACTTTCTGCGACCTCTCAACATAAAATTACAACCAGAACCCCTCCTCCAATGCCACTCTCCCCTTTAATAGGCTTTCTTTTTCCCCAGAGCATGTAACATTATAAAATATTATGTATTTGTTTACTTGGTGCATCTCCCCCAACTAAGATGGATGCGCTGCCAAAAGCAAGGACTCAGATATGTGTCTCTGGAGCCAAGACAAGGGCCTTAAATATAGTGCTATAGGAGGCAATCAATAATTATCAAATACAGTAGGCAATTATCGAACGCATGAAGCTCTTCTCTTATTTTTCCGGTGCCTAAAGCAGAGCAGGGGCAGTGTCTCCTGGTCCTGGCATGCATTTCTATGGCTGACAACTTGATGTAAATGTGAGCATTCACCCTGAGCCGGCTGTCCCGCTGAGCCCCAGCAGAAGTGTCCCTGTGGCCAAAAGCAGGGACCGAGTGCTTTATGCGGGCATGTCTTCATTAAAGGGCTAACATTTGGGTTGTGTGGCGCGTGTTTGGCATCCACACGTCTACCATTTTAAGAGTAGTATTGCCTGATCATTGTGGCTCGGTGGTCACCGGTTCGATTCCCAGTCAGGGCACATGCCCGGGTTGCAGGCTCAGTTCCCAGTGGGGGGTGTGCAGGAGGCAGCCAGTTGATGTTTCTGTTTCTCTCTCCTTTTCATTTTCTCTCTCTAAAATCAATAAAACATTTTTTTTTAAGAGTGGCACAGAGCAGAGAATCACAACCGGGACACTCGCTATGTGCTCTAGAAATAGGGGTTGCTAAAACAGAAAGGGGGCCCATGGTCAGATAACCTTCTGAAACTAGGTATTACATGAAGTTGAGGAAAGTTGAACTTCATGGCGTCTCAGATGTATAATCATGCTCATTAGGGCTCCCTAGCCTAAGGCTTTAGGCTGTGTTTCCCAAACTCATTTGAACTTAGACCCTTCCTCTTGTACCAGCCAACCCTGCTCTAAGGCTGGGTTGTGTCCTAGGGAGTCCGTGGACCTGAGAGTTGAACAGGCCAGGCCAGGTGCAGGAGAAGGTTCTAGCTCTGCCCCTTACTGACCTGACCTTGTTATGTGACCTTGGGCAAGTTACTGGGCACTTGTCTGTATCTCAGCTTCCCATTCTGTGAAGTTAGGGATGAAAAAGATGACCCAGGATAATGTAGGTCAAGTGCCTGACCCACAGAGCCAGCTAACTAGTGGTGATTGCCAACACCTTTGATTGACTCTAGGAAGGAATGCTGGTTGGACAGACATCCTCAAGTATATTTTCTGAGACAGGCTTGCTAGTGTTGCTCTGCTCCCAGAATCACTCTGCCGTGTCTCCTCCTGTGCTTTATACCCTCTCCCCACCTGAGAAGCTCCGCACATCTGTGCTGAAGTGAAAGAAATGCTATCTTTCAGCACAACTTGCTACAAACGTCTGGTGACTCCCCGAGGGTGTCCCGCAGCACGGACATCCTGTGTTCCCATACTCTTGACCTCAGAGGAAGATGCCTTCGTCCAAGGGAAGGTGGTGGCATCCAAGCTAATGATCATGCAGATGGCTACATGCTGATCTGTTCTGAAGGGACTGTGTTTTTGCAGTAAATCTCCAATGAAGGTGTGATTTGTGTAAATCTGACCCCTTGCAGTAAAATGTGCATTTACATATATTTAGAATTTATAAATCCCGACAGATTCCACGATATTTATAGCCCTCCATAAAAATCCTTCGCCTGTTTGCGAAGTTCTGCATTTGGCTCTCTGGTGTGCTGGAGAGAGTTTAAATAATAATAAATTTGGTGATTTATTCCACCTGGAACAGAAACTTATTTCCCCCTCTTGGCTCATTTTGAAGGGGACACTATAAATAGTGCCACAGACGCTGGGATCAGGAATAGGGAATTGAAATTCGAGAGGGAAGTACAGAAACATTTCCATTATCACTGATGCCTTGAATGTATTTTTGAACCAGTTCTGTTCCTCAAATAACGCCTTCTCTCCTTTCTCCTGCCCCATCTCAATTATGCGTGAGCCCCCCAAACCTGTTGCCAGCTTTAGGATTCGGTTGCATTAATGGGGGAGAGAGAGCAAATGGATTAGCGGACTGGGTAGCGGAAAGTGGCCCCTGGGGAGGCCAGAGCAACTCTCCGACGCTCATCTCACATTTCACAGGCGTCAGCAGGTAACTGAGCATCAATGTCTAAAGTGTAAATTTGTTATTTGAGACCCAGCTCATGCATCTTGCAGGTTTGATGACAAGCTCTCAGTTCATGAAAAAGGGGGAAAAAAACGAATCTAATTGCAATTACTAGAGACAACCTAAGGGCAGTGTCCAAGGGTCAGTTCTTTCACCCATCTGTGCTTATCGCAGGATCAGCGAGAAATACCTGCAGGGTTGGCTCCAAAGGACACCACTTGTTTTCTTAAACACAAAATAAACAAAAATCAGGGAGCCGGTTGTGTGTGGTAGAGTCTCCCAATGAAAGCCGAGAGCAGCCGTTTAGTGCAACATGAATAGTGCTGTCACTTGTCCTGGTAGAAGGAGGGGACTGATTAGCATTTGGCTCCTTGTGTGATTGGACTGGAAGGAAGCAGCCTTCGTGAGATGGGAAACAACAGTCATGATTCGCGTCCGGGGACAGCTGACCGTGGCCGCGCAGAGCGACATGTCCGTGGTTCCCTGGCTCTTGGCGACACCTTCCCTGTGTTAGGCACTGGAGTTTCCTGTTGTGATGAGCTGGGGCCCACCCGGCCCGAGCCTTTCCCGAGCAATCCCCTTGCCTCTGGCTGATGGGGCGGCAGGTGCTTGGACCGCGCCCCAGAGCCCCCAGCAGAGCACATTCTGACAGTCGGTGGTGAGCGAAGTCAATGTTTTAAATGCAGGCTCTAGGAAGCGGGGACCCAGATAAAGATGATGGATCTGAGGCAAAGCAAGGAGAAGACCGATGTTGCGTGGGGGTGTTGTTTCTCAAACAGGACACAGGTATCTACGGTTCATTGCTAGTTCCAAAGCTTTGCCTGAAAAACGGCTTTTTAAAGAACTGCGCTCTTGAGGCCCGTCCTTGAGGCCTGGAAGAATCTCCTTGCTTTTGCTATAGCATCTTTCTAAGAGGCCGCAGGGTATTGAGCAGTTAGACAGTCGCTTGGTGTCTTTGGTGCTTTGGGACCACATTATGGGTCTAACACATATGGGATAAATAAACTGTTTTTATTCCTTAAAACCCGTGGAAGGAAACCAGACTAGAAAATTAGCATATGTCCTATTTTTTTTTATTTTTTTTTAAGTGATTCAATAGGAGACTCCAATTAGGCAAATAAAAAATGATTACTGCAGCCCAGCCAGTGTGGCTCAGTGGTTGAGCCTTGACCCAGGAACCAAGAGGTCAGCAGTTCCATTCCTGCTCAGAGCACATGCCCGGGGTGCTGGCTCGATCCCCAGTAGGGGGCGTGCAAGAGGCAGATCCATGAGTTTCTCTCTCTCCGATGTTTCTCTCTCTCTCCCTCTCCCTTCCTCTCTCGCTAAAAATCAATAAAAACATATTTTTTAAAAAATGAAAATGATCACTGCCAACGGGTTTTTCCCCTTCCTCTCTTTCCTGGCCTCGTACTCGGCAGCAGCTCTGAGACCAGCCGTGTGTCCTGCCCCCGTTTTGATGAACCCTCCGTGTTTTCTCCACAGGGCAACCCCTACATGTGCAATAACGAGTGTGACGCGAGCACCCCCGAGCTGGCGCACCCCCCCGAGCTGATGTTCGACTTTGAAGGGAGACATCCGTCCACCTTTTGGCAGTCGGCTACCTGGAAGGACTACCCCAAGCCTCTCCAGGTGAACATCACCCTGTCTTGGAGCAAAACCATCGAGCTCACGGACAACATAGTGATCACCTTCGAATCGGGGCGCCCCGACCAGATGATCTTGGAGAAATCTCTGGATTACGGGCAAACGTGGCAGCCCTACCAGTACTACGCCACGGACTGCTTGGACGCCTTCCACATGGACCCCAAGTCCGTGAAGGATTTGTCGCAGCACACGGTCCTCGAGATCATCTGCACCGAGGAGTACTCCACGGGCTACACCACCAACAGCAAGATCATCCACTTCGAGATCAAAGACAGGTTCGCGTTTTTTGCTGGACCCTGGCTGCGGAACATGGCTTCGCTCTACGGCCAGCTGGACACGACCAAGAAGCTCCGCGATTTCTTCACCGTCACGGACCTGAGGATCCGGCTGCTGCGGCCGGCCGTCGGGGAGATCTTCGTGGACGAGCTGCACCTGGCGCGCTACTTCTACGCGATCTCGGACATCAAGGTGCATGGCAGGTAAGAGGGCCCGGCCCAGGCCGGCGATGGGTGTGCTCAGAGAAAACGCCAGGGTGGCGGCCCCGGAGCTGTAGAATGATATTTGTCACTTTCTGCAGCAACGTATTCTCAGGGACACCAGCCTGGAGGTAGGTTCTGAGGCACCCGAGACCCTCCTTACTTAGCAGTAATTCGTGATCCCAGACTTGCTCTCACCAGACCTGCACCTGGTGGGATTTCTCAGCATTTAAGCAAAAGGGGGAAAGAACATCTTAGAAAAGGAACTGGAAACCGAGAAATGCATCTTTTTGTAGTTTTCAAATGCAAGAGAGGGTTTCAGCATTGTCCAACTCTCTATGTTTTTAAGTTATTGCACAAAACCCCTGAAAATGAAAGCTGTATTTCTTTCAGTGTATTAAATCAGAACCAAAAGCATTTAGGGAAAACAAGTGCATTTGTTAAAAAGCGGCAAGCTGTATTTTTCAGGTTTTGGGATGCTATTGTCTTAAAAAGATATGGTGCCATTTCAAATATGGACCTGAGTCAGGCTCCCTTCATTCTTCTGGGTCAGTTATAGATGGACCAGAGTTTAGACATTAACGGTCACAGTCAGGCATACCTTTGGTTTTGATAATGTGCCTGCCAGAGACACAGTTGAGCAAGTTACCAAGAATTTTGAAGATGTTTAAATGAAAAAACTTCAATCAGTAGAACCAGAACCACCAAAGTAGAGATTTTTCAACCCGATTTTGAAGCGCGGGAGGTTACTGAAATAACCAACTGGTGGCGGTTGGAATGAGGCATATGAGTTGGGAAAGCTAAAGATGAGTGGGGGATACAGCAAAATGGAAGAGGGGGGAAGCAAATCCAGGCAGCAACCATTCTGAAAATGCCAAGATAGTTTTAAATCGGAATATATGAAGATAAGGCTATAAACAGTGCCTGAGTCATGGAGGTTTAATTAAGTAATCACACGATTTAAACAGATAAGGCAGGATTTATTAACGCATCCAGCATTCCTTAGGGCAGCCCAATCCTCCGCAGCCGGAGAAACGTTGAGGCCCCCTGGCCCCCTGGAGCGCTGTCTCAGCCCATCTTCGGGCACAGGGCTGTTATGTTTGTGCACCAGGAGGAGAGGCCGCCGCTGTGGAGGGAAGGGCCAGAGCGGGCCGCTAGTGAGCACACGGGTTCCGCGGTGGACAGGACAGTCCATGAATTAGCAGGGCACCCCGGGGAACAGTATGAAGCTGTTACCTTAAAAAGGGGTTGCTGTTTATGATAAAATGTAGCCGCTGTGTCCATGAACATCTTAGCAGAAGATGATTGGTTTCCAGTATCTTATTCTTGGGGACTAGAATATGTAAAAATAACTGATGTCGACACTATTAACAATAGCATTCCACAACAAAGCAACAAGTATTCTGCTCCCCTACAGAACAAATGTCAAACTTAATAAGCTGAGACTTGAACTTGGATCCCAGTGTGACCGACATTGGTAGGTAGAGTTCTCTAGGCCAGTTTCCTTGTGGTTCCAGAAGTCCTTAGTCTAAGCCAAGGGCCTTGTAGCCCAGCTTCCCCAGATACTCTCTTGTGAAGGCGATCTTGTGAAGCTTTGGGGTTGGGAACTAGCGATTGTTGGGGCATATTTCTCGTATGGCCTATTCATTTTTGTTTCCTCCGATTATTTTTAAAAGACTGTAAATATACTTGAAAGCTACAGGCATTTTTATGCATTCTCCACTGGGGTCAGACATATTATCCCCTGCAGATGGCATGTTAGAAATGCAAAATCCCACCAGATCTACCTCTTTTCGCTTACCCCTCACCCTGGTAGCGCCTTCCAACTGCACGTCAGCGGTTCCGAGGAGCTTGGAGGAGCCCCCTCCCTTCCCTAGGTCTCACCTCCACTGTCTTTTCCTGTCCACCAGTCAGCTGTCAGCCGGTGAGGTAGCAGCTGGGCAGGAGAGAAAGGTGCAGTGGAGGTGAGCCCCTTCCGTGAGGTCCCCCTCTGTCGCCGCCAAACTCTTGTCCAAATTCTTCAGGGCAAAACTGATGTTGGCGGGTACCGTGCTAGGCACCAGATGGCTGGGGTATTTTTAGTCTTGGGGGAAAGACTAAAGAAGCAAGGCCCGGTGGCTCAGGCGTGTCTCCAGCTTCTAAGTTATATAAGGAACGCGGATCTCAGATCTCTCGGCACTGAAGCTGATAGACGATTCACCCTTGAACATCTCAGCCTGGTGTGTCTGTTTCTTAGACAGCGCATCGTCTACGGGAGCGTTGAACGCGAATTGATGAGCTTGAAAATCAAGTTCTAAAGGTTCCTTTACGAGAATAGCAAAAATAGAAACTTCCCATCAGCGACTCCTCCCTCCATTCCTGGGGTGATTGAGCCATTTAACGAGCTTTCCGTGTCTGGGTGTGATCCTGATGATGGTCGTTTTCTGCCTGTCACTCGCCCCCACCCCCACCGTAGCGTGGGAACTGGCGTGAGTTGTTTGGGGCCAGTAGGGAACTTGACACAGAATAGTGGGCAGAGAAGACAAGATTTTTCACCTTGAGATATTAAGCTGTGCAGCAAAAACAGTTGGAGAGTCTTTGAGTTGACGGACCATGAATTCCAGCTCTTTATTTCTTGTGTGCAAGTGAACTTGGCGTTTATGTTTCATACTGGCTGGTTTTGTTTGGTGTAAAGAATGATGTTTTGATGGTCATAAGACGAAGGTCGCGTCCAGGTTCTTTTTAGCACGGGACACGTCTGATAACTGTTTTCGCTGGCGACAAATCCTGTGGTCCCATCGGAAACATCCCAGCCCCCTTTGGCTACTTGCTTGGTTTTCTGCCACTTCCTCCTTCTCGTTGTGTGTTTATTAAGATCGCGGAGGGAAAAGATGGCTGTTGGCCATCTCGGTGCCTCCGTGGTCCTCACATTGCTCAGTCAACTTAATAATCTTCAGGGACTAATTGTGACTTATGGATGTCCTCCTTCAGTAAATCAGGGTGATTTTCTCTAATGAATAATAGACGAGTGCTGTGTGCCAGCACCTTAATTAAAGAGCGCCTCTCTCAGTCTTGATCTCATTTTAATTTACAGGGTAATACTACAATAATATCACTAATGGAAGGTACATTAAAGGACATCAAGTAGCATTAACTGTATTAAATTATGGTACTTGTGTTAATTAACTGCCAAAGCAAGATGGTTCTAATGGCCAGAAAGGTCGTCTAATGCATAAATAAAATCTACCCAAATGAGAGGTGAGGGGAGAAATGGAGAGGAGATGTTTGTTCCGAACATCTTTTTGTACAGACAGGGAGTTAAACTCATGGGCTGTTAAATATAAGGTCCAAAATGTTTTCTTAGTCATACATGGAAAGTTTTGATTTTGTAGTGTTTCTGTTTCCTTTTAAGGAGTCCATAATTTAATTGAAAAGTTGAACATTGCGTCTGTCCGATGCATTGATTTTATAGAACACAAACTCAACCTTATTTATTGTTTCTTTGAGGTGAGTAGTTTCAAGGAAGCGATGTGATTTACTGTAATAATTGTTCAATCAGGAAGACAAATGAACATTCAGTGATATACTCACCTATTTGTAAGGCGTGCCATTAGCAGTGGGTCCAGGTCTGGATTCAGACACAAAATAAAAGAAATTCTTTTTCAACCTCAAAAACTGTAGGACAGAATTGTAAGGACTTTTCTCAGTGGCCTAGAAAACTCTAACCCGCATCTCTATTACTTGCCTTGCTACACAATATCCCTAAACATAATTATCAGTAATTTTTCTCACTGGCATTCACTATGTTGTGCCCTTTGCAGCGCCTACCCCAGCCCTTTACAGGTAGTTGGCAGTCGGTTACTATTTGCAGAACCGCCTGCCGTCTGTGCCTCCATGGTTCGTCTCCGAGAAAGGAGCCGGGGGCACTAGCACAGAAGCTCCGCTTACACTTTTTAGCGCTGCCCTAGCTCAGGACCACCCCGTCCCTATCTCATCCTGGGACCTGGAAAGGCCCAGGGACAGAGCCACTCTAACTGGGCCCAAGGGGAGAGAGTCCCCTGCACTCTCACCCTCAGAAGGAACCAGATATGTTCTAAATCCTCACTGTTTGAATGTCACCACCTTGATATGTGCTGTAATCAGGACAAAGAGAGGTTGAAATTCACTTTCTTGAATCAAGGCTTTCCCATGGTTAATGGGGAAATATGTGACCTTAGGTAAGCAAGAACACGGGGGGCAGCTACAAAATATAAACACAGTAGGGAATTCCCACCTCTTCTCAAATAGTTTGGGGAAAATCATGTAACACACTAGTGATCTGAGGATGACCAAGGCTCCCAGTCCCCCTGCAAGTTTGCTGAGTGTCTCTCCCGGCCACGATTTGAGTGGACCTATCAAGGCACTGACTCGCCACCTCTCATGCGAGAGGCACAAAGCACTGAGCCTGGCGTTTGTTCACTAATCCCAGTGAGTCCTGATTCTTGAAGTTGGATTTTGCTGCTGCTCAACAGATTCTGCTTTTATAACACCTTCCTGCTGTCACCAGTAAATGCTCCTCCACCCGGGGCCAGACGCCGGGTTAGACAGGGGTGTGACATTTACTTGGTGTCTTGAAATATGTGCTTTAGAACACCAGGCAGCCAAGGCAGAACGGGTGTTTTAGGGGGACCAGTTATGCTTAAGAAGAACGCACTCATGGCAAGGAACTCTCCAGGTAGTGGAAAGAGGTGAGTAGACAGAACCTGGGAGATGGCCTCCTAGCATCTCCAGGAAGCACTGAAGGACGCTTACCTTTTGACCTCTGGAGTCCCCCATGCCATAGGAAATGTAAAAATTCGATGGGTTCAACATGTCAGCTAAGTGCAGGAGGGGTGCTTTCTAAGGCAGTGATGTGAGAGGCTGTCCCAGCAGGGCTGTGTTGACCGAGGAGATGCAGGTGGAGACCAGGAGGGCTGGGCCATTGCTTACTTGCGGAGCACCTGGAGCTCCAAGTCCTGATGCTCAATTGGAGAGTCCAGAAGAGC